CGGTGAACTGAACTGGTACCTAAAGTGCTAAGAATGCTAAATTAAAAATATGATTTTAAATGTAATTCTCTTATACTCTTTTAATATTTCTTCACAGTACCTTATAAAACTAAACATGTTTTTAAAAATACTTCTTTCCAGTTCAGGAAAACATTTCAATACAGAGGAAGAATAGTCTTTACATTTTCTCTATTTCTCCCGCAATTGCATATTTGTCTTGAAGCACATAGTACCTCTATAGTCATCTCTCCCTGTTTACATTCAGTAACCTACTAAACACCATTACAAGTCAACATTAAATGTGAGTTGTGCTTCCCTTTGTTTGCAGACATGATTTTTTAAAATCGGTTTCAGCTGTTAGTGCAATAGATCATCATCCTTCCACCCACCTTGGAGAACTACACAACAAAATTTGTCAATTCAGGTAAAAAAAAAAAAAAAAAAAAAAAAATTAGTCTGTTTCTCTGCTTTTCAGTGACCTCAGTCATGCGCTGAGGAAAAGGGAGAGATTGAGAAAATAATTAGACCCCAAAACTGATGTGCACAGATACATTATTTCATGCCTCGTGCAAACCCAGTTAGCTGGCAGCAGATTAGCGGGGGCGAGGAGGACGCTGACTAGCCAGGGAGGAGTTCCCACCTCTGGGCCTACAAGACTTCACCACCAGCGCCAAGGCTCCCGGGTTGGGAAGGTTACAAGAGATCCTGTGTTTTAATAAAAAGGTATTACAGCTTTCCTGGAAAAGGTTACCGATCGACACCTGCTTAGTACTACGTCTTCGGCCGGGCTGCGTTACCTCCCGTTTCTAATCCCGGCTTTCGCGTAGGACATAGGAGAGGCCGTGTTTCCCCGAGGAGTCGTAACTGTCATGGTAGGGGAGGCCGACCCACTCCGGCGGGTACGTTGTCGTGCTGTACACGAAGCACTCCACGACGCCCTCGGCAGCTGCCCGCGTCTCGCCCGCGCCGCCCTTCCCTTCCCACTCCACCACCTCGATTCTCATCAGGGTGCGCTGGTACATGTCTGGGCAGCCTTCAAACTCATCCAGGAACTGCAGCATCTGGTCGTCCACCGAGTAAATCTCCCCAGCAACGTGGTGTCCTGTCCCCGGGATGTTCAGCATGTAAGGAATGTTGTATTTTCCTGCAATCACCAGCGGGTACTTCTCCACCGTGCGGCCCCTTCCTTGGAATTTCGCCAGCCCCTTAGCCGTGTTGATCATGTGCTTGTAGTTGGGCTGGCCCATCTTCAGCGTGCCGTAGACAAAGACACGGGCCATGGTACCTGCAAAAGCAGCTGAAAGACAAGGGCGTACGTTACCCACGTGGCTGCCTTGGCCAACGCTCTGGAGAACCGCACTCACGCCAAGACGTGCTGTACATACAAGACTCTTCAGACGTGTGCAAGAGTGGTCTCGTAGTCCTACACCTCGTTTAAAAAAAATCCTACTAAGTTCAAGAATCTCTGAACTTTTCAGTCAAAAACTGTAACACTGAAAAACAGATACAAAGTCCCTGAGTCTCAGGAATAGCTCCAAACCTCAATTTTTTTCCTTCTCACCACTATGCTCCCATGGTGCTACCGTAAGTGTGATGTCATGCTCAGTAACACCCCAAAAGCAACCCAGGGAGCCATCCCCATGATGGAAACACGCTCCACTGAGCACATCCTGTATGGGAGGAAAAAAAAATTGATTTAAAAAAATCATGGGTCAGCTCAGCTACGCAGACACCTTCCTATGCTGCTCCATGGCATTTGTGGTTTAAGTAGCCCAGGTCAAGGCTGGTTATTAAAATGTGCAGGAGTGAAGCAACAGTTCGTTTGTTTTCCCTTGTTGGGGTGGGGTGGTTGTTTTTTAAAGGCTGAACTGATGAACTTGGTCACAGGTTACCTGGGGCACCCGGCCTTGCTGCCTCTGGTCCAGCACACCCAGGGGAGGCCCCTGCTGCCCTCCCTCTTCTGCTCAGGCTCTCCTTTCACTGTGGCCACGCTCAGTATTTGAGAAACAACATTTTATTCAGTGACAGAAGAGCCGGGTGGCAGTCTGGAAGTTTGAGTGTCGTCTTGTTTCATGGTAAAATAAAGCACAGTGGCATTAATTATCCGAAAGCAAATTAATGCATTCAGACTTCTGGTCCTGTTGCGCTGCAGTTGCACGCATTTGATGGTATTTTTTCAAAATACAGTCTTAATTAAAAAAACAGGGAAAAGAAAAGCAAGCAGCACGATGCTTGTAGCTGCAGCAAGCGAACTACGTACAAACTGGGACATCACCAAGACGAACAGAGGACCTGTCTGTCACGAAGAGGGATGAAAAGGCTTTCATGCCAGACCTTACCAGCACAATGAGGCACGCTGGCGCGGCAGCAGGGCAAGTTTAACCTGGCGCCGAGTCATTTCACGGACACGCTGAAGGATTTTCGGTAACCCCAGCGCCGAGGTTCCGCTTGCTGACTGGCAAGCGCTGAAGAGCAAGCTGCAGCTCG